AAACACTCATCGAGTACAACCCCAGACGCTTTAAGAGGGCATTTCCCTCTTCAATATTAACCCTTTATACAATGAAACATTGATAACGCAATTTCCTCCTCACCTTACAAATACACCTGACCTTCGTTAACTCGAATATGTGAGTGGGCTGGTTTTACCGTTGCTCATAGCAATATTCTGGTTGTATGACGTGTCAGTCGGACTAACAAGAAAGGGATGCATATATTTATCTTCACACTTTTGATGTAACTCATGAGCATGGGTATGGAACAAGTACAGGGATTTGGGGGTTTTAACAGTGGATCTTGGCACACCTAAGGCAACTCTTTATATCATATCACTGCGCTTTAGACGACTGGGCCTGCTGTGTTCCCTCTTTAGTGAGTGTGTTTAGTTTTACGCCGCTGTTAGCAATATTCAGCAATATCACGGCGGGGGGACACCAGAAATGGGCTTCAAACATTGTACCCATGTGGGGAATCGAACCCGGGTATTCGGTGTGACAAGCGAACTCTTTAACCACTAGGCTACCCCACCGCCCTGTCCCCTCTTTAAGTCGAACTACGATAACATGTGAATTCTGGTCCCCTTATCAGATGGAATACATGTCGACTCTATAAGGTCACATGTCTTCATGTTGTAAAGCTTATGAACTCGACGTAGTCTCACATATCGACATATCCGACTTCCATTCGATTCATAATAAAAAATAAGGGCCATGACTCGCATAAGTGAGTGAAAGTTCGAATTGCGGGGTTTTGTTTTTTTATTTCACATTTATCAACAATTTCTATTTACAAATGGTACCTTGCAACACCAATTATGTGTTTTACAGTGGTGTCTGACGTAATGTCAATATACATAGTGTCAAGTGCTGAAGAAGTGATAAAACCCTGAAGCCCTGCAAGAGTTAACATGTTGTCATCTCAGCCATACAGACAGAAGCTCCACTTGTACACAGACGCGACTGTCGGCAGCAGCGAGAAGTTTCACCCGCGGTATTTATCCTACACGAACGTGAATAATGTCAGCACCAGAGAAGAAATGGCCAGAACTTGTTGGAAAGGTAGGAATTTATATTGTCCATCACGCCTGCTGCAGAGACATGCTTTTGTTCCACTTAACACTCTCAGTCTGCCATATTACAGCGTTAAGACATCTAACTGTAAAATATAGTCTGAACAAAAAATGCGAACTATCCATGCCGTCCGGATACGTTGAAACGCAATTAAGTCACTGGATCTGACCTGACACACACGCATGCACACGCACACACACACACACACACGACATGGTTTGAATCAGCAGTGTCCTATTAATGCACCAATGTTATCCTAATTGTACTTTTTATAATAATCCTCAGAATTTACAATTTATAAATGTTCCTTAGTCTTTTGTCTGTGATGCCGAGATTGGTTTCCGAGTTGTGTCAATTTGGTCATAACTGACTGACTGAGTTTGGTTTTACGCTGCTTTTAGCAATATTCCAGCAACATCACGGCGGGGGACACCAGAAATGGGCTTCACACATTGTACCCATGTGAGGATTCGAACCCGTGTCTTCGGCGTGACGAGCCAACGCTTTAACCATTAGGCTACCCCATTGCCCCTTTGGTCATAAGGATCAATTAAATTGTATTTTCGAATCGTAGGTTCGCCCTAACTTTGGGTATGTAGAAGTAAACCTCTACAACCAGAGACACTGTGGGCTTTTCAACCACATTCAACCATTTGACAGACACGGTATTATATATTCAACTGATATTCTATTCTTCGGTCACATTTCACTCAACAGTCATAACAGAGAGGTAGCCTAGTGGATAAAGTGATCGCTGGTCACTCCTAAGACCCGGTTCGATTCCCCACACGAGTACAATGTGTGTGAAACCCCTGTTGCGATATTTCTTGAATATGAGTTAAAGCCGAGTAAAACCATACTCTCTCACTACAAACATGATGTACAGTGGGCCCTATTCTTCGTTCTGATATACCAATTTTTGAAAAACCACTTATTCCATTGACACACAGATGAAACACCAAAACCTTCGCTTCGCACCACCACTACATACTTGAAGGTCTAGCTTGTTTATATCAATTATAGCGTTTCAATTTTTCCATCCTTTTTCAGACTGGGGAGGAGGCCAAGGCCATCATAGAAAGTGAAGACTCGAGTCTTGAGGCAAGTAGATCTCCAATTTTTAAACCCTGGAAGACCCCGGTGAAACTGCATTGGCCAGTGTTGGCACATTTACATCTGCTTTGGTAGACCTGAGTTGTCCATACCTTTTACATCCTTGGGGTGAGGTGCACTGGTCAGCAGCCTCCAAGTGACGTGATAACTAACGAACATTTGTTTCATCTATTGATTCAGACGTGAAAGAAATCATTTCAGTGAAAATCATCCAGAGGTTGATAGTATATATGAATTCTAACATGCCGTACGGGAAATTCAGCTTCCGATTGTTGATATAATCACTTCAAAATTAAATGCAAGAGAGAGAGAGAGAGAGAGAGAGAGAGAGAGAGAGAGAGAGAGAGAGAGAGAGAGAGAGAGAGAGAGAGAGAGAGAGAGAGAGAGAGAGAGAGAGAGAGAGAGAGAGAGAGAGAGAGAGAGAGAGAGAGAGATGTCGGACGTATCCAAGCATAAAGAAGTAGCCACATTCTTGACAAAAGAGGCGAAATACTATGATAACTGATCATTTTAAAAATTAATTATTATCCAGTCTTTCATATTTCGTCTAAACGTAAAGCAAGAGAGAAGAACTAAAGTCATAAAATAAAGTGGCGGTGTGACCTATATATAAGTATAGCATTTTCCAAAAATCTTTCTACATATATTGAAAGTGACAATATAATGTTTTATCAGATTTCTCACTTCAGTTTCAGAGTCCGTGAATTAGTAATACAAATATTAAATAGCACGAATGGCAGTTTGTCCAAGTTTGCATTTCCGGTGACACATGCTTATCAAAGGCCAACTCGGTGATATTCGTTTCCCTCTAACCAGTTGGCCAGATATGTGATAATCTTAGCCGGCTTCAGTGCATTCAATTAGGAGATAAACATCATGTGTTGGCGAATTTCCGGGTGTTATTGAGTAGTTGAAGCACGGGAATTCATTTGGAACCGACGGCGTCAGCCGGAGGTTTCAAATGAAATATTCCCGTGCTTCAACTACTCAATAACACCCGGAAATTCGCCAACACATGATGTTTATCGACATTGTAAACACAAAAGTAAACCAAAAGGTCCACACACGTTTTTTGTGTCTGCACTCATTGACATCGAGTACGGGTACAGCAGTGAAATGTCATCAGCCGGCCGTTTCGGCTGTCTCCCATGGTAGCATCTGGAACTGCTCATTTGTGACGTCATTCGGACTTTACGTCACAATATGATTTTAATGACGTCATCACAGCTGACGACGTAACAATACAATGGTGTGAGCGATGTTTGTATGTAAAATACGCAGAGAATTTCCGGGAATCAAATACCATTTGATCACGTTTTTCAACCAATCAGATTCAAGAACACAGTGACTTTTGGTTTACAAGTTATAATGATCAAAGGCACTCAACGAAATGGGTGACAGCAGGATAATCAATAAGTACAAAAAAACTGATCTGATAATAAGTTAATGTGGGGCCTGTATCTTTTACTACATTCGTTGGGGGTTATTTCAAAGTGATATTTTTCTTTTTGCAATTCCAGGTCATAGTATTAAATGAGAATTCCATGGTGACACGTGACCTGCGTTTTGACCGTGTGCGCATCTACGTGAAGGACGATGGAACAGTTGCATCAACCCCTATGACTGGATGAGATGCTCCATGACTTCATTGTTCAACAACTCGCATTCAAATCAGTTTCCAAATAAACACGATACCTAGAATAATCTGTTGGTACTTCTTCACAAACTAAAAGAACAGAGCATCTTCCTTGCAACTTCAATAAGGAAGAAATTAAGGGACCGTTCATAATTTATGGTGGGGGCAGGGGTATTGGGGGGAAAGAAGGAAGGATGATTTAAGGTGGGGGGAAGGGTAACCTATTTCGTTCTGGAGAGGTAGGGGCGTCATCAATGTTGTACACATATAGTAGGGGGATGTCATTGATTTTATATGTGACATGCAGGGGGGTCACTTACTTTGTACATAAAATTTAGGTGGGGGTTGGGGTGTGTGGTCACATTATACATGCATCTCCATAAAAATCATCATCACCCCCACTAGCCATAACTTATGAATGGTCCCTAATTAAATAGGTACACTTTCAATTTCATCTGTTTCAGTTCGGAGGGAGTTAAATCAGCATTATCTTACCTCACACATAAATGTCGCTTTCTGATTGGCTCTTCTATTATTTTCAATGTACCCCGCTTACCAGCTAGTAAAATTTCAATGTACCCCGCTGTCAATGGCAACTCATTTGGTACTTCGTGGTAGTAATTCTTTATCTCGAATAACATTGAATCAGGTATGATGTACGGATATTACCGATGTTTTGCGAATGCAAATCGATGGAAGGGAGAAAACTCTAAATCTGTTTTTCTTGTCAGCAAAATCTAGCGACTGCTACAAAAAGATTTGTACCCGTGCTTCAAACAATTCAAAATTAACATTAAGGTGTTCGGTAAGATAAATACCTTCGGGTTCAGGGAACATAAACAAACATTGAGGGTACATCAACCCATGGCCCCCCTCGTGACCAGTGAACAACCTGTAATGTTACTGCTGGGTCTCTGATCAGGCAACCAGTGGTGGTTAATGTTAACATCTTTTCAAAATAAATGCCGATGGTCACCATCAAGCAAACTTTTGTTCAGTTAATGTTGGAATTCTGTATCTTGAGCTGCATATGCTGGCTTCAGTTTCTTTCATTGATCCACACTGGGATGAATGACAAATACTATGGCCAAGTACAAGTCAGTTTAAAACAGCATTGACTTTTCTTTGTTAGAAATTAACACTAATTTCAACTTTCTGGTGTTTGACTACATGTTTTGAATATAACTGTTTTATTGATATTTATTCAATACAAAATCCTGTGTAATCAGCTACCAGACTGGCATCATCCTTTGCATCTGATATCAGTTGAATCTTGTGTCGAATATCTTCATTAAGTATATATGCTGAATTTCCAAAAGCAGTCCAAGTATATGCATATATATATACCCACTCTCTCTCTACATGATCTAGACAACCAGTCAGGCTTGAATTTGTGTTGAAGCTGTGATGCCTCATTGGGTTAAATCGTGTGTGTTGTTGATTCGGTGTCTGACTCTGAGAGTGAGGGTTCAAATGCCGGATGTGACCTAACAAAAGTACTAGAATATATACTTTACTGAGAAAGTATAAACCCAAATATACCATTTGTTTTATTTGACCTATAATCTTCTCATGGCCAGTCCTCGGCAGTTCCTGTTATTCACAGACGTAGACCTATAATCCCCTCATGGCCGTCCCTCATAAACACATGCCAGCCTCCCCTGCCACACCCTGAATCTGTGTCCGTCACCCCCTCCCTACCCTTCAGGTACTCCACACAGAAACATCTTGGTCCGGGTCCAAGGAAGGGCAGCACCCCCAGGATCTTCCCGTGAACACTGTAGTGAAACACATGCTCCCTTTGCAGCTCTGTGTTTCGTTGTTGTATTTTAAATGAAACCAGAAATCCAACTGAAAAACAAGACCGGAAATCAAGAAATTACACCGATCAAGTCTATATAACCAGTGATTAGCACAGCTTCTTCTCATGAGCATCTGGCTGAAGAATTGGTTTGTTGTTTAACACTGCACTCAGCAATATTCCAGCTATTTGGCAGCGGTCTGTAAATAATCGTGTCTGGACCAGACAATCCAGTGATCAACAGCATGATCATCGATCTGCGCAATTGGGAACCAAGTCAGTGAGCCGTTAGTCGCCTCTTACCACAAGCATGGGTTACTGAAGGCCAATATTCTAACCCGTACCTTCACGGGTCCAGAATTATATTTACCATGAGCATTTATAGAGTAGACCTCTGCAGGAGGTCCAGGCACTTTCAGCTCCATGACAACCTCTACAGCATCGTCTCTGACATCCACAAACATCAACATTTACCGATGCCAAATGCAAGTCTCGCTTCTCCTCTAGTTTTTCTGCTCCAGGATCTTGACTGAGATCCTGGCGAAAGCTGATGTTGCAGCCATCCTCACCCACCTTCAGACTGCAGCTGTGGACAAGATACAGGAGTGTTCACTGAGTGTCTGAGGCTCCGGTCAGCACTCTCTTTGCTAAAGCAGCCAGTTTGACAGGACACAGTATTGTTCAAACTTCATGAGGTCTTCAGTTTTTAGCCTTTAACTTTCAATGAAAAATCAAAGCTTTAGATTTTGAAAAGCCACTGGCAACTTGCAATCAGTAATACAACAAATTACCCTTCCAGGGTGTCAATTTTACAATCGCCTTAGCTAAGACGTTACACCCGCTCCACTAACCCATCTTAGGTTGATCAGAGCCAGTCCCGATCTTATGATCCGATCCAAGCTTTTAGATAGAGACTCTTTAGCGAGAGATAGAGAAATGCGAGGCACAAGTTATCTCCCATTGCGCAGTCTAGCAGACGATGGAAGTAGTTTTGGAACCAAGCGTGAACGGACAAAACATCTCTAGCGAAATATTAGGGTAGTTAGCACCTTGGTTTCAGGGGTAAGTGCATGTGAACACTGGGTATCATGCATAATATGTGGCTGAACCTTGTCGATCAGAATAAACAAGGCAAGCCGAGGCATCCTCTACCTTGCTGGTTAGCCCGGGAAAGCCACATTAAGAAAAACAGAGTTGAAAATGGTGTGGCTCAATACGCTATTAGATAATACATGTTACCTTTAATAATTGGTATTAAATATTGAAATATTCTATATCATATTATAGCGACCTTGCCCTTGGGCATTTCATATTTTGTGATTTCAGACAACAGTTTTCTGAAAGTAGGGCCAAAATAATAAACATTATTGTGGTGAAACGTCATATATTGCATGGTAACATTCTGGATAAAGATATCACATTAACATGGTTACTACTGAGCTATCCCTACCTGTCCCGTTGCTGGGTAACAATAAGGGTTTGTAGTGTGTCAGGACAGAGGAAGTAGATGGCGCTGTTTGTTACAGCCATGACTTTGTTTCCTCCAAAGAGGAGAGTTATTATTACTGGAAAGTCTTCACTCAAAATCTCATCTGCAGTAACTGGGTTGCATTTTACTCTGAAAAACAAAAATATTTGTAAAGTTCAATCCAAGTATATTTAAACATCAACATGACAGAATAAAAATGGTCACAAAGGTCTTCAGAAGGTGAATTTATTGATGTTGAAAAAATACCGACCTTCTTTGGTCTGATCCGAGTCCATATAATTTGTTCCCCAGCACATAATGGAGTTGACATAGTATCCTTGGAGAAGATCTTCAGTACCCTGCCTCCTTTCCCCCATACACAACCATCACTTTGAAAGACATGTCACGAGTTCCATGATGATTAACGGTTTACATTTGGGGACCGTTCATGATTTATGGCTAGGGAGGTGATGATTTTGAGGGGGGGGGGGGCACCCATTTTGTTCTGGGGAAGTATGGGAGGTAGCAATTTTGTACATAAAAATATTTTTTTAAATATGGGGGTCCTTGATTTTGTACATGACATGCAGGGGGGTCACTTTTTTTGCACATAACTTTTATGGGGGGTCACTCACAATGTACATGCTTCTCCATAAAAATCATCATCACACACAAACCAAACCACACCCCACCTCTAGCCATAAATCATGAACGGTCCCTTGGTTTGGTTGTTGTCTGCCACCACACTCAGCAATATTCCAACTCTAAGGTAGCGTTCTGTAAACAATCAAGTCTGAATCAGACAATCTAGAGATCAAGAGCATGAGCATGACTGGGAAATGATGACGTGTCAACCAAGTCAGTGAGTCTGACCACCTGATCCAGTTAGTCGCCTCAACAAGCATGAGTTGCTGAAGACCAATTCTAACCCGGATCTTTACAGGTCATTATTATTAACAAGCTGAGGATATTGTACACAGATATATGATCACAGATTGTGGTATTTGGAATGTCAAGGTGGTGGTGTGAACTAACTTGGCACTATTTTGGCTCCTCCTCCCGACGCGCCACATGATCTCATCTTGAGGAAATTGATGATATTTCTTGACAGCCTTCGGGACCTGTATGCTTGACATTGATAGATCATCCACTGCAAATGACCATGGCTGGTGAGATAAGTCCATAGTTATGTCAGGCTCAAGGAAGGTGGCCTCGTTGGTGCAGTCTACAAACTAAATGGAGAGAATACTGACAAATGTACAACATACAATATTCAGTCTGATGAAAGTGAACATATCCGATCCTAACTAAAATGTATATCTTATGAAGATGGCTCAGCCATGTTTTGAGCAGTACAGAAACACTGACAAGAGTTCCCACAATGTCTGACATCTGTGGATTAGCCAGAGATGCAGTTCATCTTCTCATATATACTAAACAGCAAAAAAATGCTACTCTTTTTTTTTGTTAAGTTTTTAAATAGAAGACATAAACATGAACGCTTACTTCTATCAGATTTCATTTTTTGAAACTTGTGTTTCTTTTGCTGTTCAGCATACATTACCTGAGAACTACAACTCACTGATCAAGAACTCACTCAAGAGCAAAAGATCTGTCAAATGATAAATCAGGTAATTTAAATGTATAATCGATACAGGTATTCTGTTGAGTTTGCTGCAAGATAGTACGAGCAAGGTGGCTGGTAAAAACTGGTCACAGAAATATTGTTCACTCAACACAAATTACAAATGGTTAATTATGAAAGTTCAGGGTAAATGTTTGCAACATTATAAGTGTTGTCATTGACTCAGTCACTTCCAGTCCACATTTTGGCTACCTCTCCCGAGTTCTACCAGTTTGGGTGAGTATGGTTAAACGTGGCGTAAAACTACACTCACCCACCTCAAACATTTGCTTTATTGTTCTGCAAAAGCTAAACTCCATGAAACTATTTTGTACTTACGACCATAACACAATTGTTCAGCCTGGAAACATAGAAAACTCAGATAAAGAGCGTCTCTCTTGTAAGGGAAGTATTCTATTAGTATGGCCAGGAACCTATGGGGACCCTGGCAGTCTCTTTGGGACTTTGCAGTCTTTCTCAACTCAGGCTTGACAGCTTCCCATACATGTCTCTATACTGAGATGATGCTGCAACCTTTGTCCCACAGGTAGTCATACACAAAGGTCACAGTCTGAAGATGAACAGTTATGTTGTGTGTTAGAGACTATTTTGTATATGACATAGTGGCTTAAAAAAAAGAACCTATTTTTATTTTCATATAATGAGAGAACAATGGTAGTCAAGAGGAGAAGAAGTGGCCATGGGAAAGCAGTGGTTGTTCGGAAGAAAGGTCATAGTGTAGGAGGTGCTCATGGGGTAAAAAGAGGTGATGATAGAGGAAGGGTCATGGAGAGGAAGACCTGTTAGTATGTGGGTGGGGAGGGGGGGTCACTGGGGAAGAAGAGTTCATGGCTAGGAGGTGGTTATGGGGGAAGAAGAGTTCGTGTCTAGGAGGTGGTCATGGGGAAGAAGTGTTCGTGGCTAGGAGGTGGTCATGGGTGCGGAAGAGTTCGTGGCTAGGAGGTGGTCATGGGGGAAGAAGTGTTCATGGCTAGGAGGTGGTCATGGGGAAGAAGTGTCTGGAGAGGCTAAGAGGTCATCACGGGGAAGAAGTGTTCATGGCTAGGAGGTGGTCAAGTGGGGAAGAAGAGTTGTGGCTAGGAGGTGGTCATGGGGAAGAAGAGTTTGTGGCTAGGGAGGTGGTCATGGGGAAGAAGAGTTCGCGGGCTAGGAGGTGGTCATGGGTGCAGAAGAGTTCGTGGTCTAGGAGGTGGTCATGGGGAAGAAGAGTTCGTGGCTAGGAGGTGGTCATGGGGAAGAAGAGTTCGTGGCTAGGAGGTGGTCATGGGGAAGAAGAGTTCGTGGCTAGGAGGTGGTCATGGGGAAGAAGAGTTCGTGGCTAGGAGGTGGTCATGGGTGCAGAAGAGTTCGTGTCTAGGAGGTGGTCATGGGTGAAGAAGAGTTCATGGCTAGGAGGTGGTCATGGGTGCAGAAGAGTTTGTGGCTAGGAGGTGGTCATGGGGAAGAAGAGTTTGTGGCTAGGAGGTGGTCATGGGGGAAGAAGAGTTCATGGCTAGGAGGTGGTCATAGAAGAGTTCGTGGTAAAGGGGGGAAGAAGAGTTTGTGGCTAGGAGGTGGTCATGGGGGAAGAAGAGTTCGTGGCTAGGAGGTGGTCATGGGTGCAGAAGAGTTCGTGGCTAGGAGGTGGTCATGGGGAAGAAGAGTTCGTGGCTAGGAGGTGGTCATGGGTCATGGCTGCATTTGAAGAGTTGGGGGAAGAAGAGTGGCTAGGAGGTGGTCATGGGTGCAGAAGAGTTCGTGGCTAGGAGGTGGTCATGGGTGCAGAAGAGTTCGTGTCTAGGAGGTGGTCATGGGGAAGAAGAGTTCATGGCTAGGAGGTGGTCATGGGGGAAGAAGAGTTCATGGCTAGGAGGTGGTCATGGGTGCAGAAGAGTTCGTGGCTAGGAGGTGGTCATGGGTGCGGAAGAGTTCGTGGCTAGGAGGTGGTCATGGGGGAAGAAGAGTTCGTGGCTAGGAGGTGGTCATGGGGGGTGCAGAAGAGTTAGGTGTCTAGGAGGTGGTCATGGGTGCAGAAGAGTTCACGTGGTGGCACCAGAAGAGGTGGTCATGGGTGGAAGAAGAGTTGCGAAGAGTTTGTGTCTAGGAGGTGGTCATGGGGGAAGAAGAGTTCGTGGCTAGGAGGTGGTCATGGGGGAAGAAGAGTTCGTGGCTAGGAGGTGGTCATGGGTGCGGAAGAGTTCGTGTCTAGGAGGTGGTCATGGGGGAAGAAGAGTTCGTGGCTAGGAGGTGGTCATGGGGGAAGAAGAGTTCGTGGCTAGGAGGTGGTAATGGGGAAGAAGTGGTAAGTGAGAGGAAGTGGTCACGGTTAACTGACCTAAACTGTTTTCTTCATACAGTAGAGTGGACATATTCTAATATCTTCACACATCCAAGGAGAGAAAGGTAGTTGAGAAGTAAACAATGACTCTACTCACAGAGAAGCCTGGGTTATAGCCCCTGGCGTAGCAGTACTCAGCTGTAACCATCATATCTTCCTTCCACTTCTTAGGTCTGTCAGGGTTGGAGAATATTTCAAATATAGCTTTCTGAAACATAGACATTCATTTGAAAGCACTTTACAGTGGAAACCTGATAAGTAAAATTTCAAGGGACTCGCCAAAATTGTTTACTTATCAGGTATTTTACTTATCCAAACTTATAAAAACCTGCAAATGACAACCATATGCATGTATATGTACACATATGGAACAATGAACAACTTATCAGGGCTGGCTTCCAGTTGTCAGTGTATTGTCAAGTGCTTGACGCCAGCGAGCTGTAAGTAGGATGTTTGTTTGACTGGAGACTGACACGACTGCCCCTCATGTCGGATTATGTGGTGATCGCTAATTTAGTTATCCAGTCTCTTTAATTTACTTCCAGGGACCGTGAGAGACGTTTAGTTAAGCGGTATTGTTTACTTATCCGAAGTTTAGTTAACCAGACTCTAATATTTATAATTAATGAAGAAATTTGCCGGGACCAAAGAAAAGTGTTTACTTATCAGGTCTGTTTAGTTAAGCGGTCTTTACTTAGGCGGTTTCCACTGTATATAAAGCAAGAAAATATAAACATGAGACTCTAAAGTTGAATTTCTTGACCGACCATGTCAAATATATATATATTACATACTAACATTTGTTATCAGAAACATGGTCTCTTTGACAATAATATTAGGGGTGACTATTGAGGTCTAAGGAACTATTGCGATATTGATAGACTATTGCATGCTACTATTGCAATGTCGAACGTCTATTGCAAGCTACTATTACAATAACTATTGTGATAGTTGAGACAAAATTCAAATTTCAGATAAATTGCCATTTTCTACCAACTTCTTTTACATTAAACTACTTAAACCATAAAATGTGTTCAGTTGTTTATTCCTTATAACCTTCAGGTCAGTATTGGTCAAGTTGTCATGATGACTTCTTCAGGAACATGACTTAGTATTAAAACATTCCACAACAAGCCACCACATTCACGCAGGATTTAATACTATTCATTACAAAACTGTGGTTTGCAGACTCTTTGATCCCCACAACTTTGTACTGTATATGACCGTCTATAAGCCGAATTTTGGGGACCAAAAAAAGCAGTCTGTAGAAGGGGGTCGTCTTATCCATGGGTTACGCTTTCGTCAAATTTTTTTCCAGGGGTAAGAAAACAACATCGTATCACTTGTTCCCGGGAAACGTGTGCACAGCTGATTGCTATTTCCGTCTCTGTGTACGAGACAAATACGCACGGTAATCTTAATTAATTTATCGAGCAAAAACTGTAACTAAAATTACATAATGCTCGGATATATTTCTTTGGGTTAAATAATGGTATTCTGTATTATATTTTACTGACTGCGTCAGAATTCGTCAGAATTCGTCCCGTTATATTATTGTGCATGTTTGAACTTGTTCGCCGGGAAACGTGTGCACAGCTGATTGCTATTTCCGGCTTTGTGTACGAGACAAATACGCACGGTAATCTTAATCCCAGTTTGTTGCTACAATAAATATGATATTTAGAGAAGCAAAATATATTATGCATTTTCTGTCAACTACACTTCGTTTCGATCCGTGAGTAGACACAATATATATGACAGTGAATTCTTTGAATAATGTGGACCAAAGTATGTAAAATAACATACAAAATAAAGAATAAATACTGGCTCTGTGTCTCTGTCACATTTTTGACAAATAGAAAACACTTACTGTGTGTAAAGGTTGAAAATTAAATAGATCACAGGTAGATATATTTCAGTTTTAACAACATGAAGATGAAAAAATATATCCAGTGCACTGAACAGTCATCAGACTTAACTGATTAAAGAAGACAACATAATTGGCAAATGGCAATATTTCACATTAACTCAGAGTTTACTCAAATAGTGTGATGAAGGCATCATTTGTTATCTTGGTTTCCAACTTTCCAATTCTTCTAAAGAAACATGTGCTTCTATGTGCTTATGCATAACGTTATACACTCAACATTAAAAATGACTAGCAATAAATGTCAAAAATGGATTTTCTTCTTTGACGTCAAACGACGACAGAGAGGTTATACACGTATAGTGATAAGGGTCAATAACTCCGTTATGCTTAACACTAAGTCAATGTAACTCAGATCACACGGATAGAATTTGTTGTGGATACAGACGCTATATTTACGTTATTTTCTGTTCCCGGTGAATCAAACTATTCCAATTCAAAATTCCCCAATGTGAGTGCATACGCTTTGGTAGTTTCACAATTTATAAGAAAAGATGACAACGTACTACATGTGAAAGCACGTAATAGCGATTAGGATGACCCTATCCGATATATAATTTAGTTCTTAGATTCCCATATTCTCCTGTTTGTGTAGATGTATTTTGACTAATTTTGCATAGTTATTACCAGAGTACTAGCCATATCTTCAAATGTAATTTCATACACCTATCGATAAAGTACTATCGGGGGGGCTCACAATCACGATCAATCGATAGTTCGATGCATCATTACACCCTTAATAATATGGTGTCATACCTGCTTCAGAAATTTTCGGACTAGTTTTGAGAGGTTGACTCTGGCCCTCTGTCCATTTGCCCCGGTCCACAATAATGTGACTGGCTTAATCTCTGTTTCCCAAGCTTTAAGGGCACTTGTTTCATATGCATAGGGAGCCAAGAAGTGTACAGTGTTCCCCATCTCATCACAGTACAGTTCACTCAATGTTGGAACCAGGTTAAGACCTATGGACAAAATGAAAAGTTTTACACAGTTATCAGTACATTGTGTCCCTGTGGCCAGAAATGCTTTGTGTGCAGATGCATCTAATATGTTCGCCAAGGTGTTCTGAAATTTTCAGCCAAACTGGATATGTGGATATCTGGGAAATAATAATAGGTGAGGGAGTGAGTGAGTGAGTGGAGTGAGTGAGTGAGTGAGTGAGTGAGGGAGTGAGTGGAGGGAGTGAGTGTGTGAGTGAGGGAGTGAGTGGAGGGAGGGAGTGTGTGAGTGAGTGAAGGAGTGTGTGGAGGGAGGGGGAGTGTGTGAGTGAGGGAGTGTGAGGGAGTGAGTGACTGAGGGAGTGTGTGAGTGAGTGAGGGGGTGAGTGAGTGTGTGAGTGAGTGACTGAGTGAGGGAGGGAGTGTGTGAGTGAGGGAGGGAGTGTGTGAGTGAGGGAGTGAGTGAGTGGAGCGAGGGAAGGAGGGAGTGAGTGGAGTCAGGGAGTGAGTTGCGGGAGGGAGGATGTTTTTTCAGCACTTTTAGTAGGAAGATGGATATCATAAACAGGTTCCATGTATTGTATCTTAAGGGACATGAAACCTGTGATTGTAGGTGTGAATGGGAGAGCGAGGGAGTGAGCCAGAAAGTGACTGGCTATTACTGTGTTTTTGAGATTGTGACAATGAGTCAGCGTGAAATTGGAGATTGAGTGAGTGAGTGAAAAGTTGGAGCGTGAGAAGAAGAGTGAGGTGAAGTGAGGTGGGATGTGGTGTATTGACGGTTTTAACTTAATATTCACACTAATACACAGCAGTGAGGCCCGTAGATGTCTGTGAGGTGGAGAGGTAGACATAGGGGATGAAATACCTCTCAAATACAATAAGCCTTCATGAGATACTTCAGAGATTGAATACCATGCATGTGTCTGCCTTGGAGTGTGAAAGTTGAATCTGTAAGATGGGAAAGACTTTGTGTTAAAAGAAGAATGATCAGTACAAGATGCATCTGAGAATCTGTGTGGCAACCAGTTTGGTACAATGTCAAGGAAATACCTAATCATAACCGACATTAGAAAAACAACAGTAACAATGTTTGTAAAAATGCACTTCTAGATATTGGTTTGAAAAGATACTGTAAGTAGCTCTGGCACTTAATCTCAGTCTAAGTCAACTTAGGCTCAGTATTATTCTTTACGCTGCTGTGTTGAAGGTTGTGTCAGCTAACCTTTTGAATTGACCAATCAGAACACAGCTTACCAAATCGCTAAAGTTAACATTCGCACATGCTGTTTGAACTTTTACCTCAAAAACGTTTGTACTGGAACAATTCCAAATGTTATTTTGCACACAATCCCTTCTGAGTTATACACACAGAGGATGCCATTATTCACAACAGTGAGTAAACAATCGCTGAAAATAGCGTTTTTGTCAATATTCCAGGATGTCATTTTGCGGAAATATAAGCTAATAGTAACCATGTCATCAGAAACACCTTAGCATATATACTGAAGGTCAAATATCTGTGTTTTATGCAGATTTTCGTTTGTTGAGAGATCAGCGTCAGTGACCGGGGAAGAGTAAATCCAAAAACAGTCCCACCAAACCCTAAATAGTAGCTGTTGTCTGATTGGTTAAATCTGTTCGTCCGTCTCGCGTTTGGCTGGACGGTCATATGTCGCTCAAAGGTTCGCTGACGTGACATTCTACTAGGGTTTGTTAGACTCAGTATAGCAGTGTAACGAATAATACTGGAGCCTAAGTTTACTTAGACTGCACTTAATCTGAAAAGATTCTCAGATTCAACAATGAAAGTTTCCTCTGTAAAAGGAGAGTGATTTACCCTGTGTATGGATAAACAGTCAAAGTCTACCCAGTGTACAGATCTACAATCCAAGTTTGCCCACTGTAAGGATCTGCAGTCCAAGTTTACCCTCTGTAAGGATCTACAGTCAAGGTTTACCCTGTGTATGGATCCAGGTTGAGGGCCCTGATAGGGGGCAGCACCATCTGGAGATCTGCTGTCAGGAAGCCAGCATCTGTCAGTCTAAGGTTGAGGTCTGCGCTGGACAGGTGATCCCCCTCAAAGGAATTCCTAAGACATAAGTATACGCCCATATGTATAACACAGACACCTAGGGCTTGTGAAAAACATCAAATAAGATATGATTGTGAAATTCTAACAGAAAAATTATTTTTATCATATATGCCCCAGACATACACATCATATACTGGAAACACAATGCGTTCTCCTATGAGTAGATTTTCAACAGCAAATATCGGCATGTAATCTGTCATGAGGCAAACATTATCTCCTGAAAACAGCATGGTCGTAAGTGCATTGAGAATTCACAGCCATACTCCAGTGTTAAACTTGTAGGGGCAGAGTCACTCAGTATGTGATGATAAAAGGGTAGTAACTTCACATGCAGCATTTCATCTATCAGCATTAAATCAAAATTATACATTAAATTTTATACACAGAAAGGATAAAACTGATAGAAAACATACTTACAGGCCACTGACTATGCAAAGATGGCCAAGCTGTGTTCTCCATATGACCTTCAAGAAATTAGGTATACCATGATTCTGAACATGGTCAAGAACTGGTTGCCAAGGATTATGAACTTCTTTTCTTGATGATAAACTAGAATAACCAAACATAAACATGCCAGAGATGAAAATTCTTATCCATCTGCAGACAGCCCTTAAAAAGTTGAATGTTGTCAGAAGAAAACACATGTTTTCAACAGAACAGGTTACCTGTATTCCTAACTGATCTGAATCAAATCAGGTGTTGACAATTGGTGAAATTTAACACAATGTAAATAATGTAACTCAGTACTGGGCTAAAGATTTAGGGTACAAAGATTTCAGTTAAAAAGATCTCATAACAATACTTAGGAAAGTCAATCATTCCTCCCAATACCTGAAACTCAACGTCTTGTACACCTGGGTGGATCCTTTACCATCTCCAAGCAGAGCCTTCAACAAGGACAGATGGAGCAGTAAGTCGTCACAGTACCTCACTAGCCTCTCTGTCAGCTTCAAACAGTCATCCAGACGATCCTGAACACTCTCTGTCGACAGAAACAACAGACCGTAAGAGAACCCTCCAGACAATCCTGCTTCCATCCTCTGTGGATAGAACAACAGACCATAACACAGAACCCTCCAGGCAATCCTGTACACTCTCTGTGGATAGAACAACAGACTGTAACACAGAACCCTCCAGACAATCCTGAACAACAGAAGCAACAGACTGTAACACAGAACCCTCCAGGCGATCCCGAACACTCTCTGTTAACAGAAGCAACAGACTGTAACAGAGAACCCTCCAGACAATCCTGAACACTCTCTGTGGACAGAAACAACAGACTGTAACACAGAACCCTCCAGACAATCCTGAATACTGTGCGTAGCAGCAAGTTAATAGAGATTTTCTTGACTTAATTCAAGAGGTCCAATTAATTTGTCCCAAAAAGGAAACTGTGTTTCTTTCTTTCCCTACCTGTCACACCTATTATATGACCGAGAATTAATCTCACCTGCAGCAGTTCCACAGTGGAAACACAAGAATGATTCCACAGCTCGGGTGACAGAGATCCCTGGACTGGAGGCATCCAGGTGGGTCATGGCAGTGTTCCACGTCTCAGCTGCCAAGACAGCCTTCTGCTGCGCCATCATGCTATAAATTGTTCACACACTATCAACAATCATCTTTTTCTTGTCTATGAAAACATATTGCTGCCACTTTTTTAACATAAAATATTTTTTCGGCCAAATTTCTTATTGCTTCCATTATTTTATTGGTGCTTGGGAATATTTTCTCATTATTTCATTTATTTACTCGTTGCTTCAAGTATTGTCTCATTACTTAAAGTTTCTGTCCAAAACTCAAAATTTCATGTTTTTGAAAGAAACTTTGGCGAGAAAATACTTGAAATTTCAAGTTTTTGACAACACTTGCTTTCAACATGCAAAGGTCACGATGTGAACAAGCTTCCATACCAAGAGGCCTAAAAATAATGTCCTTTTACTGGACACAAGTGACCTGTGAAGATCCGGGTTAGAATTGATCTTCAGTAACCCACGCTAGTTGTAAGAGGCAACTAAAGTGATCAGGTGGTCAAGCTCGCTGACTGGGTTGACACATGGAGTGTACAGCGGTGCTCATGCTGTTGATCACTGGATTGTCTGGTTTATTTACAGACCATTTACAGACAGCTGGAATAGTGCCGAGTGCAGCATAAAACTAAACACACTCACTCACTCAGAGACACCTTTGCATTTTAAACCTATCTGGAGTGATTGAGAACTTAATAAATACAAAAACAAAAGAAACATGTTGATGTTGTGTGGGCTTATTGTACACCAATGTCACAGAGACTGGAATGGTATAATCAATACTGGCTGACACTTCTCTTACCCCTGGTCATAGACACTGGCCATCAGCATGTGCTTCTGCAGTATCAGATCACTGCTGTGGGTGCTGCTGTCTTCATTCGTTGCCCCTGGTGACTCCATGTAAAGACGGTACGCTTTAGATGACTCGTCATTCTGTGCATACAGTCTGGCAGCCTCATTCAAGATCATGGCTTTGTATGGTCCTTAGAGAGAACATATTTCTTTTCAGGTTTGGAATAAAGAAAACATTTCTTGCAGATTTACATAACACTTTCTTGAACCAGAATCAAACAAGAGTAGGAAATCTTGTTGTAATGGTAGTGTTTGTAATTGATAAGTTGACTTGACAGTGTAATCATAGAGACTTTACTCTTTTGACATTGTGACTACGCCTATCAGATGACATCTTTTATACTTAGCTCCTTATTAAAAAATGTTTATTACATGAGAAACAATTTTTGTTTTAATTCCTGACATTTAATTCTTAATTTGGTTTAAAGATGCTAACCCTAAGTTCATGTCTATTGGATGGGGGATCAAGCAGACAACAACAAATATAAAATAATCTTCTCTATTCCTTTCTCCATTCCTCATAATTAGTCCCATTTGACAGCAGCATTCTGGCAGTCATTGTGACTCCACCTCATATCATACCAACTCAATGTGTGTTTGTGTGTGTGTTTGTGCGTGTGTGTGTGTGAGAGAGAGAGAGAGAGAGAGAGAGAGAGAGAGAGAGAGAGAGAGAGAGAGAGAGAGAGAGAGAGAGAGAGAGAGAGAGAGAGAGAGAGAGAGAGAGAGAGAGAGAGAGAGAGAGAGAGAGAGAGAAAAGAGCCTAGTGGTTAAAGTGTTTGCTCATCGTACCAAAGGCCCGGGTTTGATTCCCAATATGGGTACAATGTGTGAAGCCTAATTCTGGTGTCCCCCTGCTGTGATATCGCAGGAACATTGTTAAAAGCAGCGTCTAAACATATTCACTCATCAGGACCCTATTCTCTGAACCTTATAAAAATCATATCTTACTTGTTGCTACCGCCAAGCAAATATCTGTGAGTACATCCTGAGTTATGAGGATGTATTTTCGTTAACTTAAATGTCACATTGAATAAATTTAGTTATTATGGGTCACAAAAGTTTAAAGCGCTTACTGTGGATTTGAACTCACACCTAAGTTAGAGTTACCTCCCCTATCAAAGAGGATTGCAAAATGACAGTTACAGGCAGTATGTCTGAAGATACCTTCCCATTACAGTACTCTAAGTGGTCCAGCCAGATGAACCTTACCTTCCTCCTTGGTCTGTGCAAACCTCAAAAAACATTCTGCTGCAAAACTGATGTTCCCTCGAGCCCAGAACACATAGGGAAGAGCTCTGTCAAACAAGTGCCTGTAAATCTTGGGGTACCTGGACAAAGGGAGTGGGATGAGAATATTGCTTCTTAGTCTCGTGAAAATACTTTCTTCATACTGGCACTCCCATATGTAACATATGTACCAGATGTTGAGCTTCCAAAAAACACAGCTAATGGATTGAAATCACTGGCCAAGTAGGGCACTCTGGAGTGGTAGCCAAAGTTAGTGTTCAAGGTTGATGGTCTGGGGTGGTAGCCAAGGTTAGTGTGCAAGATCAATGGTCCCTAGGGTCCATGAATGGTAGCCAAGAATGATAGCCTAAGTTTGGTGGCCTGGGGTGGGGTTAGTCTGGTGGTCTTCGGCTCGGTCCAAAGTTGGGATGGGTGGTGTTCTGGGTGGTGTATAGAGAAGCATACTCACAATGGGCATCTTGGGTGTTGGTCTGAGAAGGTGGTCTAAAGTTGGGATGGGTGGTGTTCTGGGTGGTGTATAGAGTAGCATACTACAATGGGCATCTTGGGTGCTGGTCTGAGAAGGTGGTCTAAAAGTTGGGGATGGTGGTGTTCTGGTGGTGTATAGAGTAGTAGTATACTACAATGGGCATCTTGGGTGTGGGTCTGAGAAGGTGGTCCTTAAAGTTGGGGATGGGTGGTGTTCTGGTGGTGGTGTATAGAGTAGTATACCACAATGGGCATCTTGGGTGTTGGTCTGAGAAGGTGGTCTAAAGTTGGGGATGGGTGGTGTCTGGGTGGTGTATAGAGTAGTATACAATGGGCATCTTGGGTGTTGGTCTGAGAAGGTGGTCCTAAAGTTGGGGATGGAGGTGTTCTGGTGGTGTATAGAGTAGTATACTCACAATGGGCATCTTGGGTGCTGGTCTGAGAAGGTGGTCTAAAAGTTGGGGATGGGTGGTGTTCTGGGTGGTGTATAGAGTAGCATACTACAATGGGCATCTTGGGTGTGGGTCTGAGAAGGTGGTCTAAAGTTGGGGATGGGTGGTGTTCTGGGTGGTGTATAGAGTAGTATACTCACAATGGGCATCTTGGGTGTTGGTCTGAGAAGGTGGTCCAAAGTTGGGATGGGTGGTGTTCTGGGTGGTGTATAGAGTAGTATACTACAATGGGCATCTTGGGTGTTGGTCTGAGAAGGTGCCTGGCTAGTCCACAGTCATGGTCTAAAGTTGGGGATGGGTGGTGTTCTGGGTGGTGTATAGAGTAGTATACTCACAATGGGCATCTTGGGTGTTGGTCTGAGAAGGTGGTCTAAAGTTGGGGATGGGTGGTGTTCTGGGTGGTGTATAGAGTAGTATACCACAATGGGCATCTTAGTCCGAGAAGGTGGTCCTAAAGTTAGGGATGGGTGGTTCTGTGTATAGAGTAGCATACCACAATGGGCATCTTGGGTGTTGGTCTGAAGGGGAGTTGGGGATGGGTGGTGTTCTGGGTGGTGTATAGAGTAGCATACTACACAATGGGCATCTTGGGTGTGGGTCTGAGAAGGTGGTCTAAAGTTGGGGATGGGTGGTGTTCTGGGTGTGGTGTATAGAGTAGTATACTACAATGGGCATCCGAGAAGGTGGTCCAGTCAGTTGGGGGTGGTGGTCTGAGTATAGAGGTAGGTCTCACAACTGTCGGCAGTCCGAGAAGGTGGTCCAAAGATGGGATGGTGGTGTTCTGGGTGGTGTATAGAGTAGTATACTACAATGGGCATCTTGGGTGTTGGTCTGAGAAGGTGGTCTAAAGTTGGGGATGGGTGGTGTTCTGGGTGGTGTATAGAGTAGTATACTACAATGGGCATCTTGGGTGTTGGTCTGAGAAGGTGGTCTAAAGTTGGGGATGGGTGGTGTTCTGGGTGGTGTATAGAGTAGTATACTACAATGGGCATCTTGGGTGTTGGTCTGAGAAGGTGGTCTAAAGTTGGGGATGGGTGGTGTTCTGGGTGGTGTATAGAGTAGTATACTACAATGGGCATCTTGGGTGTTGGTCTGAGAAGGTGGTCTAAAGTTGGGGATGGGTGGTGTTCTGGGTGGTGTATAGAGTGGTATACTACAATGGGCATCTTGGTGCTGGTCTGGAGAAGGTGGTCTAAAGTTGGGGATGGGTGGTGTTCTGGTGGTGTATAGAGTAGCATACTACAATGGGCATCTTTGGGTGTTGGTCTGAGAAGGTGGTCTAAAGTTGGGGATGGTGGTGTTCTGGGTGGTGTATAGAGTAGCATACCACAATGGGCATCTTGGGTGTTGGTCTGAGAAGGTGGTCTAAAGTTGGGATGGGTGGTGTTCTGGTGGTGTATAGAGTAGTATACTACAATGGGCATCTTGGGTGTTGGTCTGAGAAGGTGGTCTAAAGTTGGGGATGGGTGGTGTTCTGGGTGGTGTATAGAGTAGTATACTACAATGGGCATCTTGGGTGTTGGTCTGAGAAGGTGGTCTAAAGTTGGGGATGGGTGGTGTTCTGGGTGGTGTATAGAGTAGTATACTACAATGGGCATCTTGGGTGTTGGTCTGAGAAGGTGGTCTAAAGTTTGGGATGGGTGGTGTTCTGGGTGGTGTATAGAGTAGTATACTACAATGGGCATCTTGGGTGTTGGTCTGAGAAGGTGGTCTAAAGTTGGGGATGGGTGGTGTTCTGGGTGGTGTATAGAGTAGTATACTACAATGGGCATCTTGGGTGTTGGTCTGAGAAGGTGGTCTAAAGTTTGGGATGGGTGGTGTTCTGGGTGGTGTATAGAGTAGTATACTACAATGGGCATCTTGGGCCGTTGGTCTGATAAAGGTGGTCTAAAGTTGGGGGGATAGGGTGGTGTTCTGGGTGGTGTATAGAGTAGTATACGCACAATGGGCATCTTGGGTGTTGGTCTGAGAAGGTGGTCTAAAGTTGGGGATGGGTGGGGTTCTGGTGGTGTATAGAGTAGCATACTACAATGGGCATCTTGGGTGTTGGTCTGAGAAGGTGGTCTAAAGTTGGGGATGGGTGGGCTGTTTGGGGTGGTACTCTGGCATTAGTGGGTCAACAGCTATGGGTACTGGCATGGTCTTGGCAGGTTTCTACAGTGATCAGTTATTGTGTTCTACAGTGGTAGTGATCAGTTATTGTCTGAGTGTGTAGTGCTGAGGGTGATGATCTGAAGCGCTGAGCAGACAATATTAGCCATGTCAAACAATATTTAGAGGGAATGTCAAGAATGCATTTCTGGGACTCTGAGGCACACCACTGTCAGCAACAATGTTAATACTGTCATAGTCTCTGTCACACTCACCACCACTGTCAACAACAATGTTAATGTTAATACTGTCTCATAGTCACTGTCAACACACAATCACTCGTCTGTCAGTCACACTCACCACCACTGTCAACAACAATGTTAATACTGTCATAGTCTCTGTCACACTCACACACCACTGTCAACAACAATGTTAATACTGTCATAGTCTCTGTCACACTTCACCACCACTGTCAACAACAATGTTAATGCTCGTCATAGTCTCTGTCACACTCACCACCACTGTCAACAACAATGTTAATACTGTCATAGTCTCTGTCACACTCACCACCACTGTCAACAACAATGTTAATACTGTCATAGTCTCTGTCACACTCACCCACAACACTGTCAACAACAATGTTAATACTCGTCATAGTCTCTGTCACACTCACCACCACTGTCAACAACAATGTTAATACTGTCATAGTCTCTGTCACACTCACCACCACTGTCAACAACAATGTTAATACTGTCATAGTGTCTGTTACTCACCACCACTGTCAACAACAATGTTAATACTGTCATAGTCTCTGTCACACTCACCACCACTGTCAACAACAATGTTAATACTGTCATAGTCTCTGTCACACTCACCACCACTGTCAACAACAATGTTAATACTGTCATAGTCTCTGTCACACTCACCACCACTGTCAACAACAATGTTAATACTCGTCATAGTCTCTGTCACACTCACCACCACTGTCAACAACAATGTTAATACTGTCATAGTCTCTGTCACACTCTCACCACCACTGTCAACAACAATGTTAATACTGTCATAGTCTCTGTCACACTCACCACCACTGTCAACAACAATGTTAATACTGTCATAGTCTCTGTCACACTCACCACCACTGTCAACAACAATGTTTAATACTGTCATAGTCTCTGTCACACTCTGTCCACCACTGTCAACAACAATGTTAATACTGTCATAGTCTCTGTCACACTCACCACCACTGTCAACAACAATGTTAATACTGTCATATAGTCTCTGTCACACTCACCACCACTGTCAACAACAATGTTAATCGCCTGTCATAGTCTCTGTCACAGTCTCTGTCACACTCTGCCACCACTGTCAACAACAATGTTAATACTGTCATAGTCTCTGTCACACTCACTCACCACTGTCAACAACAATGTTAATACTGTCATAGTCTCTGTCACACTCACCACCACTGTCAACAACAATGTTAATACTGTCATAGTCTCTGTCACACTGCCACCACTGTCAACAACAATGTGTCAACAACAATGTTAATACTCGTCATAGTCTCTGTCACACTCACCACCACTGTCAACAACAATGTTAATAATACTGTCATAGTCTCTGTCACACTCACCACCACTGTCAACAACAATGTTAATACTGTCATAGTCTCTGTCACACTCACCCACCACTGTCAACAACAATGTTAATACTGTCATAGTCTCTGTCACACTTTCCACCACTACTGTCAACAACAATGTTAATACTGTCATAGTCTCTGTCACACCTCACCACTGTCAACAACAATGTTAATACTGTCATAGTCTCTGTCACACTCACCACCACTGTCAACAACAATGTTAATACTGTCATAGTCTCTGTCACACTCCACCACCACTGTCAACAACAATGTTAATACTGTCATAGTCTCTCTGTCACACTCACCACCATTGTCAAAATGCCAATACATATATAGATACTGTCACACTTCACCAAAGCCAAATGATGTCAAATTACTCAGCTAAGAGCTTTACATCATATTTTCCAACACAGCTTTAAATCCTGACGGTGACATTGACACAAAATACAGGTAAGTAACTAAACTGCTCTTGAAGAGACCACATACCTGATGTTACGGCAGACATGTTACAGAATTCCATCTTCCACCTAAGTTGACTGCTCTGATTTGTATATAACAGTATTGTTGAATCTGGGTTTCCAAGAAAAGGTCCAGAGGTTAGATGGTCATTCCAGATGTTCCGGAAGCCACATCAGGATCAATTTCTAAAATAAAACTTTCCAACTCCCCATCAGTATGCTCAAAGTAATATAAGAGTTGGTGCATCCACGACAGCTGGATATTCATAAGTTCCTGATCCTCCTGCACATAAGACAACACATTCTTCACTGCAGGGGACACACTGCAAGACTTAGATACTTTCGATTTCCTGACTGTCAAGGCATCAAGACAAAGCTTAAACAAGGCTGGGATATTTCTAACATGAGATTGTAAAATATTATTTGAATAACCCACAAATTCAGAATAATAGTCAATGTTCTCAATATTTGTAAATGGAAATTCAAATTTTGGCTGCAAGCTCTTCAGTTTATTTCTCAATCGTCTCTTCTGTGTCTTGCTACGCCCTTGTTTCCGCTTCATTGCAATGAGACCTTGACTGTGTGCCTGTGGATATTGTGTTGTAGGTGGAAGAGATGGTCTCTCCATCATCATCCCTAGCTGTGTCTGATATCCGTGGTGCACACGCTGAGATCCTGCACTTTGACAAACTCATCAGAGTCTGATAGGTTCACTGATTCATCCTCAGCTGAAACATATTCTAATTCCTCTTGAGAGCTATCTCCCTTTCAGCCATCTGTCCTTGACTAGTGCTTAGAACAGCAGTCCCACTTTATTCTCTCCTGTGCAATTATCCATGGGCTCTTGAGACTTTGGGCACTGAAAGACTTAATGTGAGAAGTAATGTTCATAAATGTTAGCACATTGTTAGATTGATAAAAGATAAATTATGAGTAAATGTTAAGTTTAAATCTTGCTGTGCTTTTTTTGTCACACTAAGTGTATACCCAAGATGTTTATAAAACATGTATAATATGAAGACTTTCAACAGTGTCTAACAGAATCCATCTGCAACCACAATTCTAACCTACAATGTCCTGGCATCCAGAAGTAATGCTGATTCTACACTACTAACTTGTTCCAACTAATACTACTGGTTATGTAGGTATTGCATTACATGACTCCTTGCATAGGATACTGTCTCTGAGCAGAAAGACATTATGTTGAGCACTGAATTCATTCAGACTGCTTTTCAGTCTGTTGTGTATTACTGACCAAAAATGGAAGCAATTCTGGCTATTACATCACATCATTATGGAAGAAAGACCCCAATTCTCTACATCTCCAGGGCTGAGCATTTTGGTAAAGCTGCACTAAATTAATATTGGATCCATTCCCATGCATGGTTTCTCGTGGACTGCAAAGTACCCATCCTTGATTCTCATTAACTTTTTACCAACAAATCAACATAAGGAAACTGGAAACTTAATAGTTACCTCCAGTTTCTTACACTCAGTCATGAAAAATTGGCCTGCCTCTCATATTCTTGATATTGCCAAGCCAACATTGAGGCTTGTTTGTAACTAGCATTCGATTAGTATGCTGGACCTAGTACCCTACTATCAAACTGGCAAATAGAAATCAAAGGCAACTTGAGCTACATATATTTATCTGTAAATACAATCCCTAGAAATATGCAGAATGAAAAACTCTCTGCTGGCAAAATGAATAATTATAACTCAACTACTTATTTGAATTAGGTAACATACATAGATGTCACAGGCATCTTCATATTGTATGTCCTTACATAACAGTCTAACACACTCTCTACCCTATAACATGTCACTCTTTACCATGTTACATCTCAATCCCATAATTTAAACAGTCAATATCCATCCCCACTCGATCAGTGTCAACCATCATCATAAACTCCACCCCACTCTCTACCTTGTGACATCTCCACCCCACTCTCTCTACCCTGTTATATATCCACCCCATTCTCCAACCCTGTCACATCTCCACCCCACTCCCTACCTTGTTACATATCCACCCATGTCCACTCCCCTACACTGTGTTACATATCCACCCCACCCCTACCCCTGTTACATATCCACCCCAATTCCAGTGCCAGTGCCAGTGGTAACCCACATAGAATTGGAATTGAAGTAAAAGGCTTAGCGAACATTTTGATGTATAAGTAAAACTGTACTCACTTTCAGATGTGAACACTTCTGCTATAACAACACACTTCGCTCTAATAATGTTTGTGTTTTGATTCTTGAGGGCGTGTTATCTGATCATGCTGCATTGTTTTCAAAAGGAGGTCATGCTCAAGTAAAACTCTAGATTGCTTGCCACTGTAATCTCTCACGGCTTGTCTTTCGACTGTACCGACTTTTCTTTGGTTTTTCATTAAGTAAATTCCCCTTTTTATGACTGTACATTTATTTTGAACATAGTAAATGTTAAAATGATTCAGAAATTTGATTAAACGGAACTTTATTGAGAGACGTTTTATTTAAATATAAGACTGAGATACGTATGTATTTTCTGATTGATATATGTATTCATATAAGAATGAGCTTAGTATTTATTTATATACTTTTCAAATAAGTATCTATTAATAGAAATAGAGAGGAAATACTATCCTCAATTATCCTTCGGCATTTTACTTTTTTCGCCATTCTGTTAAAGTATTCATGCAATATGATCAGCGGAGATACGTCTAGAAACTTCATCGAACGTCAAGCATTACAAGTTTCAACATAACATCAGCTGTTTGGAACTATTAAACCGAAAAGCAGAACATGTCTTAACTGACAGCAAGTACTGTCTATACAGTAAATGATAAACCAGATTGGTTGGTTGGTTGGTTTGTTGTTTAACGCCGCACTCAGCAATATTCCAGCTATATGGCGGCGATCTGTAAAAATAATATAATATAATAATGTATTTATAAAGCGCCTAATATCCACCATAGAGATGCTCAGCGGCGCAGTGACAATATTAGGAGGGAAATAATTCATATAACTTTACAGAAAGGCAGCAATGAATAGATGGGTCTTTAGCAGAGATTTAAAAGTCCAGATTTAATCGAGTCTGGACCAAACAATCTAGTGATCAACGGCATGAGCATCAATCTACGCAATTGGGATACGATGACATGTGTCAACCAAGTCAGTGAGACTGACCACCCGATCCCGTTAGTCGTCTTTACGACAAGCATGGTTTGCTGGAGACCAATTCTAACCTGGATCTTCAAATACCGACGACAATTGAAGTATGTTGGTGCTGTATTAGCCGGTAAGGTGAGGTTATTTAATAGGTGATGTTGTGTTCAACATTATCTGTGTTTTCCGGAGAGTCTGAGTCGTGCAGATGTAACAAGCATGGTAATATCACATGATGAGTTTAAAACGATATCAGAATAACCTCAGTCTGGATTTCATCCATGAAATCAACACATGGACATGTTCCCAAGTAATATCCCCCAAAGTGGAATATCCCTACAGATTTGAATACTACGATACTGCCGTTTCCACAAATGAAATTTCCGTTTCAATTGCATGTATTTATCTGTGCGAAGAACTGGGTCGAGCATAACATCTCATTTTCCGCATTCATGGCAAAATATTTGAATATTAATAAGGGTTGGCACTTTGTGCAATGCCGAACTTATAAACCTTCCAGTGTTCCAACTTATTTAGAACTATTTATTTTCGCGCCTAACACCAAAGAAATAAGATTAAAAGTGCCTTTTAAACTTGGTAAAATGTCAGATATTCACTTCAAATGTCCTCTGTGAAAGCCGAGTGATAGTAACAAACTGAAGAGTAGGCCAACCATGAATTTCGAAATGAAGGGACTGTTTCGATATTTTCTTAATTCTGAAACTAATAACACTGATTTAATTTCTTTATACAATGTGAGTCATTACGGAAGAATAAACGTAAAAAAATCAATGAAATAATAATGTCATTGGTATGTTTTAAACGCACACCATTCTGACAGTTCTCAGTGACAGTGTCGAATTTCGGGATACGGAATATGCCGAGCGTTGATAATAATTTTACGTCACAAAATCTTCTGACGTCATAGAAAGAAAACGTCACAGAGCAATCGCGCTTCGATACAAGACGTGTTTTGCGTTCACTGTGTTTTCTATGCAGAAATGGCAAACTCATGGTTTCTTAAGGATATTTTATGTCCAACAGAGGAACTTGACTTAGGTAAGTTAATTCTAAACTTCTCTTCACAAACCTTTGACAAGATATCCCTGTACCAAGTCGTGTTTAAATGAGATGTGTTGAAATGTCTTGGCATTAGGGCCTAGATTTTCGACGCTCCCTTATCGCTAAGATAGTCGTAAGTGCCATGCATAAACATTAACTTACTACTATCCTATCGCTAAGAGAGCTTCGAAAATCTAGGCCCAGTGCCGGTGTTCTATCCGTGAAAGATAAAACGTTTGAAACAACTGAACATTTCAGTAACAATATTAATCTCTTCAAAAATATATTTTGAATTGTTTAGACGATTATAAACTATTACCGAGGAAAGAATCATGAGAAATGTATTACTTATTCCTGGATTATTTTACTCCATGTCTGTCTATGTTAAACTACGTATTATGAAATCAATGAAATACAAATGTTCCTCATTGCCTTTAAAATACAATACGATTATACACATACCCACTATGTTTTCAAATACTTTAGGATTGACCTTCATCAAATTGGGAATATGTTTCACTTCAGTAACTCTTGGAACAAAACATGTTTGTTTCTCCTGCTGCCTTGTTTATACAACACGGGCATTTGTCTATTCGGCATGTAGAAGAATTGGTATGTTGATGGATTGTGATTAACAGGTGTGTCTTATTCTATCCAGGTTCCCCGTCAAGTGTAACTCCTCGAATTCAAAGCCAACATAACGTTGCTGCGGAACTATGGAGAAAACATCTTTGTTCCGACAAACAGAGTCCAGAAAGTATTGACGGTGTCATATCACCATCGTCTATCACCCACGTGGACGTATCTACTCCAGCACCGTCGGCATGGCGGAAGCCACCAAAATGTGAAGACAAACTCCTTGGCCATACCATCCGTGGGTACAGATTCCAGCATGTCATTGAATCAGGAGGAACCGCCATCGTATACAAAGTCATCAAAGATGGGAGAACATACGCTGCGAAAGTGTCCCACCGAAATTCATTCGATCCAGAGACAATAATCAAGGCATGGGCCACAGAATTCAGGATTATGAGTCAGCTGAAGCACAAAAATATAATCCAAGCCTATGACCTGTTCACCCACCGCGGACTCCAGGTGATGATAATGGAGTATTTCGATGGCTGCGATCTGGCGGACTTCATTGCCTGGAACAACATCTCGCAGAGACAACGCGCTTTGAAAAAGATCTCAAGACAAGTTCTTAAAGCCATCAAATACGTTCACAAGGAGAACATTGTTCATCGAGATCTGAAACCAGCAAAATATACTAATCGGGAAAGATTTAAAGGTGAAAATAATTGACTTTGGTGGTGCGATGAAGT